TCAAGGCTAGAGCTTTACCACTTGAGCCACAGCGTCACTTCCAGCTTTTTTCTTTTTGCTTATGTGGTGCTAAGGAATTGAATCCAGGGCCTCAGGCATGCAAAGCAAGCACGCTACCACTGAGCCACCTTCCCAGCCCCACTTGCCAGCAGTTTTTATACATGTATACTCTGTACAGGTACACAGAGAAATGAATTATTTATGACCTTTGTCATCTCTTCTTGTTTTCATCTCTTGCTTTATTCATTTTTTTCTCATGCATCAATTTCAACACAACACAATTTTTGTTTTTTCTTAACTGTTTAGTTAAAAGCTTGGAAGTTTTAATTTAGTCCTCATCTTAGAAATATATTTATTGCCTAAATTTGCCTCTAATTTTGCCTTCTCATATCCCTCAGATTTGACTAATGTTCCTTATTACCTTGTTAGTCAGGATCAAGTCACAAGAACAGAAACTATATCAACTATCTCAATAAAAACAATTCAAGGGGCTGAGAAGGTGGCTTAGTGGTAGAGTGCTTCCCTTGTATGCATGAGGCCCTGGGTTCAATCCCTCAGCACCACATAAGCAGAAAAAGTCAGAAGTGGCACTGTAGCTCAAGTGGTAGAGCACTAGCCTTGAGCTGAAGAGCTGAGGAACAGTGCCCAGGCCCAGAGTTCAGGCCCCACTACTGACCAAAAAAAGTATGGAAATTGGCTATTCAGTGTTTTGTGTGAGTTCCCTGTTTTGTGTGAGTTCCCTAGAAGTGGACCCTAAGAGAAGAAAAGTTATTTATTAAAAGAAGTTCCCAGGGCACACTGGGAGGAAAGAGAGATCATAAGATGGGGAAGAAAAGTAAGTCAATGATGTGATATCAAGCTACTCCCAAAGGCAACTGGTATGGTCCCAAGAGAAGCTCTGGAGACAGTGTAAGCCACACCCCTAAGTCACCCTTATCTGCAAGGTCATTTGTTAGTAGTTGTCTTATGGGGATATAAATTTTCACACACTACAGACTGTAGACACACTAGAAGACAGAGACACTGGCATTCCAAAATGGAAGTACACTGCGAGCCTGGGTGAACAACTGTGGTAAGGGATTTGAGAGGATATGGCAGGATATGTTGCTACACACAGTGACATGATCTGCACTCCAAGCTGACAGCAGACAGGAATCTAAGGTAATACAGGCAGTAACTGCAGGGAGCAGCTAGTGTTCACCAGGTATACAAAAATAGAAATGGAGGGGAAAGTGCTTTTCCTATTCTATCACTTAGAAATCAGTGTAGTGCTTCTGTGACCATATGGGTGACACATCAAGCAGTCAACCAATTCTTCAACCATTCTCCTCTAATTCAACTAAGTTCTAATAGTTTCTACCAAGAGCTATGATCGCATCTCACAGTTTGAGGGCTTAGTCCCAAGACAAACCCCATCCCCACTCCTTACTTCCAATGCCACTTACAAACCCCAGATTGTTTTACCTGTGACAAACAAGCTATTAATCAGGGTTCCCTCACCCCACATCCTGCTCCTTTCTAGAGCAGCTCACAGAACTCAGAAACACTTCACTTGCTAGTTTACTATAAAGGATTTTACAAGGACTATTGATGAAAACATGCATAGAGTAAGGAAATGGAAAGGAACGCAGATCTTTCATTGTCCTCTCCAGGTCCACTGCCTTGCAGGAATCCTCATGTGCTCTGCTATCTACAAGTTCTCTGAACCCAGTCTTCTGGGGTTTTGTGGTGACTTCTTTACATGGGCATGATTAATTGAATCACTGGCCATTTGTAATGAATTTAACCTTCAGTCCCTCCCCAGAGGTCCTAATCTTGCCTAGGTCTTTTCAGTGACCAGCAGACATCCTGAAGCTATGTAGAAGCTGCTAGCCTTCAATCAACTCATGTATTATTCTTTTATTCAAAGGATTTTAGAGTTATATGCCAAGAAATAGAGTAAGACAAATACATATTTTACAAAATCATAATGAGAGAAAAGATCTGTAGTAGAAATAGGACTCCAACTCTAAGTAGAATGTACTATCCAGCAGTTGTGATACCACAGGGGCTGGAGAAGGGGCCCTGCTGGCCTGGGCCTCTGGCCTTGAGGAAAGACTGCTGCTCCTAGGAGCCTAGTGAGGAGGGAAGAGAGAGACCAGAACCAAGTGCTGCTGCTAAGCTGAAAAATAAAAGCAGATGGGAAGAAGGAAGTCTCTTCTCCTTATCCATCCTTACTAGTTTCTCTAATGCCTCACACTGGCAGAGTCAGTAGGAAGCTGCTGTCTAGTAGAAAGTCCTTAGAGTGCTAGCATCACAAAGTGGAGGGTTACAGGTGGATTTAGAGACAAGAGACAATAGCTTGCTGTGTAACTTGCTTACGAACTGACATATTCTCCTTGCTGTTCATTTCTAAATGGTTTGAGATCTCCATTTAGAGGCTTGCCTGGGCTGCACAGTAAGACCCTATTTATCTTTAATTTCTAGGATTTTAGGGGTTTTTCTTGCTTTCTTAATACTTTTACTTATATTGTGTTATGATTGGTAAGGTGACCTTTGTGACTTTAGTGTGTGTGTGTGTGAAAATACTGTATAGAGGGTTACAATTACATGAGCAAGAATAATGAGTACATTTCTTATCAAACATTGTTGCCTCCTAGTTTCCCCTTCCCATCACTTCCCATCTTCCCCTCCCTACCCTCCCATCCCCCACCCCCCAGCCAAAGTTTTAAAGTTTGTTTTTTGACATAACAACTTATGCTTGATGGAATTCGTTGAAATTTTCTTTACGGTATAAATTTCTGATTATTTTTAGTAAATGTTCTAGAAGTATCTGAAAAAGTAAATATGTCCTTTCAGTTTACTTAATCTGTTACTTTCTGAAAAAAATTATTTCAAGGTTTCTCTGGAACTATGATCAGTCATGGACAATTTCCCTTTGTATTTCTGTAAAGATTTGCTTTTTTATCTTTCCAAATCTGAAGATTAATGACTTACTTTGATTTCTCTTTTGCCTGCTAATTACCTTACCACATCGGGGTTCTTAATAGAATTTATCTACGAGATCTTTTTCTATCCCTTTAGGTTTCTGGTTGTTGTTCATTTATTTGTTTATTTGGGAAAGGGGAGCAATACCTGGGCCCTGGGCAATACTCAAGACCTTCCTCCTGCTAGGCAGGCATTCTACCCCTTGAGCTCCATCCCCAGTCCACTTTACTTTCATTTTTGTTCAAACAGGGTCTAACTTTTTTCAGCCTAAACTACAATCCTCCTGTTTATGCTATTTGTTGAGATGAGATATTAAGAACTTTTTGCCTAAGCTGTCCACAGACTGCAATTCTCGAAATCTTATCATCCCAGGTAGCTGAGATTACAAATGTAAACCACTATACCCAGCACCATCTCTTTAGTTTTAAACTTTCCTGGGTTGATTTCTTTTAGGAATGTCTTATGAATGTGTACAGGTGATTTTTTTTTTTTTTGTTCAAGTGAACTCTGGGCCTGGGAGCTATCACTTAGCTCTTCAGCTCAAGGGTAGCATTCTACTACTTGAGCCACAACACCACTTCTGGTTTTCTGGTGGTTTATTGGAGATAAGAGTCTCGAGGACTTTCCTGCTGGGGCTGGCTTTAAACCACGATCCTCAGATCTCAGCCTCCTGAGTAGCTAGGATTACAAGTGTGAGCCACTGGCACCCAGCTTCAGGTGAATTTTTTAAACAAATCCAAAGCTCTCTGTTTTAAAAAGCAAATTTAGCCTCTACACATTTATGATTACTCATATGTCTAAACTTAAACCTGCCATTTTATTTTATAATTTATTTTTCCTGTTTCTGTGCTTGATACAGTTTACTTCATAACGAAAACAGTAAGTCAAAAACAGTAAGTCAGATGGGAAGGGGAAACAAAGGCGGAGGCTACAATGCTTGATGAGAAATGTACTCATTATCTTGCTCATGTAATTGTAACCCCTCTGTACAGAATTTTCACAATTAAAAAAAATGAAAAAAAAAAAAACAGTAAGTCAGAAACAAAATGGTAGCCGAGTGCTGGTGGCACATGCCTGTAATCCTAGTTACCCATAAGGCTGAGATCTGAGGATCACAGTTCAAAGCCAGGGCAAAGAAGTCTGTGAGACTCTTATCTCCAATAAACCACCAGAAAAACCAGAAGTGGCGCTGTGGCTCAAGTGGTAGAGTGCTGGCCTTGAGCTGAAGAGCTGAGGGATAGTGCCCAGGCCCAGAGTTCAAACCCCATGACATTAAAAAAAAAAAAAAAAAGGTAAATGACCTACTAAATGATAATTCAAATATAACTTGAAAAATTTCTGAATCCTTATATTTGTGAAAATATCATCATTTTACCCTTATTCTATGATCAAAGTTTGGCTAGAGATAATTCCTAATTTCAGGTTATTATCCATGGAAAACTTGAAAGTTAATTTTTTAATTTTCTTTTCTTTTTTTTTTTTGGTCAGTCATGGGGCTTGAACGCTGGGCTTGGGCACTGTCCCTCAGCTCTTCAGCACTACTTCCAGCTTTTTCTGCTTATGGTGCTGAGAAATCGAACCCTGGGCCTCACACATGCGAGGCAAGCACTCTACCACTGAGCCACCTTCCCAGCCCCTAATTTTCTTTCTTGAATCTGAAGTTGCTGATTTATTAAAGTCATGTGATCTGAATTTCATTGCTCTGTAAGCACCATCCTTTTATTTTAATAAGTTTTTTTATTGTGAAAATACTGTACAGAGGGGTTACAGTTACATGAGGAAGGTAATGAGTACATATCTTATCAAGCATTGTTGCCCCCTCCTTCCTCCTTTGTTTTTCCCCTAACATCCCTTCCCTCCCACCTCCACAACTACATCCTGCCCCTCCCCTGCCTAAATTGTAAAGTTCATTTTTTTGACATAGTGTCTTATACATTTCAATTTGTTTTTTCCCTTTCATTCCTAGTACCATCCTTTTTAGTCCCCTCATTGGAAGCTTTTAGGATTATCTCTTTATCCTTAGTTTTTTCTCAGGAAGTTTTGAGTCAATTTTTTTTTAATTTTTTATTGTTATTATAAAGGTAATGTACTGAGGTAAAGAGTACATTTGTTTTTGGACAATGTCACCCCTTCACTCACTCTCTCCCAGTTTTACCCTCCCATTCTCATCTATAAATTGTATAGTTCATTTTCAACATAGTGTCTAGTGAGTTCCCCTATTGCATTTGTTCATCCTTTGTCCTTCCGTTTCTGTGCCTCTCCTTCTCCTCCCTAAGACAGATAAATGAACAAGACAAAAAGAGGATAAAAACAACAACAAAGAAAAAACCTCATTTCTATTTCATTTTTATAAATATTATTTTATATTATCAGAGGCACATAGGCATTACACTTTTATGTTCCTCCCCAAAGAGTATCCTCTGGTCTCACTATGTGTGAACGCCTAGAGTCCTGTGTAATTTATCACGTCCCAGTGTATTTTTAGACCTAACTTCCACATATAAGAGAAAACATGTGCTCTCTGTCTCTATGTATCCTCAGTTTTCTAAATGTGTTTCTTTCATCATCCTTCTTGACTAGCTAGATTTACAGTCTACAGTTTTTGTTGTTGTTGTTGTTGGTGGTGGTGGTAGTGGTGGTAGTGGTGATTGTGGGGCTTGATCAGGCCTGAGTGCTGTCCCTGAGCTTATCAATCAAGTCTAGCTCTCTACCACTTTGAGCCACAATGACACTTCCAGTTTTCTGAGGTTAATTGTAGACAAGAGTCTCACCTCTGGGGCGCTGGTGGCTGACACCTGTAATCATAGCTACTCAGGAGGCTGAGATCTGAGGATCTCAATTCAAAGCCAGCCTGGGCAGGGAAGTCCAAAAACTCTTATCTCCAATTAACCACCAGAAAACCAGAAGTGGCACTGTGGCTCAAGTGGTAGAGTGATTGCCTTGAGCTGAGAAGCTCAGGGATAGCGCCCAGGCCCAGAGCTCAAACCCCACAACCAACCAAAAAAAAAAAGTCTCACAGACTTTGCTGCCGGGACTAGCTTCAAAACCATGATCCTTAGATCTCAGCCTCCTCAATAGATAGGATTACAGACATGAGTCTCTGGTGCCAGCTAGACAAGTTTTTTGTTATTCAGTTCTTGACATTTTTCTCCTATAGCTGCTTTCAATGTTTAGCTCTATTCTACTTTTCTACTAGAAATTCTGTTAAAAGGTTATTGGAGTTAACAATAGATGTGGCTTCCAGAACCTTACATTTCTATTTTATACTGTCCCTTTTGATCTGTTACACTGGAGTTTGGGGAAGTTCTACAGTTGAATTTTCAGCTCACTGGTTTATTCTTCAGCAGTATCTATTGCTATTCTTTGTTTATTTATGTGTGCTACTGATAATTGAACCCAAGCCCTCTCACTATTCATTCTTTTTTATAACAGCCTATTCTAAGTTTATAATAGCAATATTCTCTTATCACTCTGCCAATTCTGCCTGTAGTATTCTTCCAATGTATCCCTCTTTGGTCTCCCAACTTTTTGCTCCAATGTTCCTTCTGCTTTGTTGAATTTTATAATTTTATAAACAATATTGGTTTTCTCAAGCACTGATTCTTAATTGTGAATGTATCTTTGTGAATGTGACTCCTGCATCTCAAGAGCAGCAGAAGGTACTGTTTGATTAAATGTGCCAGTGCCTGGACTTCAGAGCATGGTAGGTCCCTCTTTATGGTGGTCCATACTACTAGCCTCCTCCCCTGAGAACAAGCCAAACCCAAGTCAAAGCTCATTGGCATAGAATTTAATCTCTTTCATATACAGCTGTGTGAATCTTCAACCATACATACATACTCCTGACCTTTGCATACCTCTACCACCCTTCGTGATGCTGTTAGCATCATGTGGAAACTCACAGTTCAGGTTATTCTAGATATGTAGTATCATGAATATTATGAATATGTAAATATTGATTACTGTAGAGTTCAGTTTGGCTTTAGTTTTGCACCTCATAAAAATATAGAACATATTCCTTACCTTCTAATATGATATTTTTATGTGTGATCTAATGTAACTTAAAATTTCATCATTAATGTCAAAAATCACTGAAATATAAAATTAAAATGTGTAGTTGTGTGTGTCTTGTCCTGGGTCTTGAACTCAGAGCTTGGACACTGTCCTTGAGCTTTTTTGCTCAAAGGTAGCACTTCACCACTTGAGCCACACCTTCACTTCTGACTTTTTGGTGGTTAGTTGAAGATAAGAATTTTTTGAACTTTCTGGCCCAGCATGGCTTCAAACCACAATTATCAGATCTCAATTTCCTAAGTAGCTAGGAATCCAAGTATGAGCCATCATATTATATGTATATCATACCTCATTTAAATAAAATTTTAAGTTTAGAATAAAGTTAATGGCTGGGTGCTGGTGGCTCATGTCTCTAACACTAGCTGCTTAGTAAGATGAAATCTGAGGAAGTTCAAAGCCAGCCTGGGCAAGAAAGTCCATGAGATTCTATCTCCAGTTAACTACCAAAAAGCCAGAAGTAGAGCTCAAGTAAAGCAGCCTTGACTGAAAAAGCTAAGGACTAGTCTCCAGGCCCTGGGTTTAAACCTTACTACTGGCACTGAAAAAGGAAAGGAAAGAAACAGGAAGGGAATGGAAGAGAAAGGATGGGACATTAAAGACGCAACAGTGAAACGGAGATCTCTGGATATTTTCTTTTTTCAGGGTGTGCCTTCTCATGAAGTATTTACAGTATTGTCTGGCATTCCTGAGGCTGAGAAATTTGCTAAATTCTGGATCTGCAAAGCAAAGTTGCTGGCAAGTAAAGGCACCTTTGATGTTATTGGGCTTTATGAAGAGGCCATTAAAAGTGGGGCAACAGTGAGTATCTGTCTTGGGTGGGTGACTTCTTCAAGTTCTCTTTCATGTGGTTTTTCTAATATTGCTTAAAATAGGTATATAATAAAATGTGAAACTTCTGACTAATGAAGGATGAGGGGTCAATATGATCGAAGTATGTTATGCATGTATGAAAATGTCATAACTTGTTATGACAAAAACCTGTTATTTTATACAATTTATACATACCAAACAAAACTATGAAAGCTAGAGGTTCATACCTGTAATCCCAGTCACTCAGCAGGCTAAGATCTAAGGATCGCAATGGTTCAAAGCTAACCCAGACAGAAAGTCTTATCTTAAAATAACCAGCACAAAGCCAGACATGAAGGTATGTATGACTCAAGAGGTTAGAGTACCAGACTTCAGCAAAAAAGCCAAGTGTAAGCACAAAAACAAAAAATAAAAATAAAGTTAACTTGATGAAGTTATACATACAACATGAAGTATAGTATGTCCTTTAATACATTAATAGAAAGTAATATATTTATAGAAAGTAATGTTACATGTAAACCAATAGAGCAGTTTTCTTGTCAAGTAATCACATCTTACTTAATACTAATTAAAGAAATAAATAGTTTATGGAAAGTTAGAACATCAGTATCCAATTCTCATTAAAGTTTGACCTCAAAGTACTTAAAAAGATAACAAGTTCAACACACCAATAAATAAACAATTCATAGCCATTGAGTAAAATAACTTTAATTCTAAAACCTAGAATAAAACCATCTTAGAACCATGATTTTTAAACAAAGACTGAATGAATTAATGTTGTAACTCTTTTTTACTTAATGGTCATTTTTCTGACTCATACTCAGTATTCTATAGACTGTTTCCATGGTTATTCACAATCACAGTTAAATAGTTCAGTAAATTTCATTCAGTAAGATTTTTGCTTCTTTCCACTCCCATTTTCTACTTCCCAGAGAAAACTGATTATATGTTTACCTCTATTGTAAGAAAATGCTTGGGTTGTTATTTTCTTCACTTTTCAGTTTTAGGCGTAATTGTGGAGAGGTTGAGGATTTAACCATCCCCCTCACATACTGTACTTCCTTCTTGAGTTGGGTACATCTCATTTCCTAGTGCTCTATTAAGTTTTCTCCTTCCTTCATTACGTTTCTTCTCAAGTGTTATCCTGTGTGTGTGTGTGTGTGTGTGTGTGTGTGTGTGTGTTATCTATGCATGTCTCTGTCTCTGTATCTCTTTCACACATGTACACTATTGTTTGCTTATTTTTTATTACTGTATTCTATAATCTCTATCAGATTCTTATGACATTGGGCTATTTGAAAAAGTGTAAAATTCTGGACACATGGATTCACTCTAACATAATCTAGCTGTATAGAATGGTTAGATAACACTCAATATCAGTATTATTAGGTCTTTCCCCTTAAACTGGTTAAATTCTCTAAAGAAAGCTCTTCTAGTCTTCTTGCTGGAGCTAGCAACTTTCTGCATCTTTTGGGGAAAGAGGAAAGCTACTAATCTCAAACCTTACTCTGAGAACTTTTGATTTATCCTGTTTTCAGTAAATACCTCTGATCTTGCATGATATGTATCCCCCCCACACCCCAAAGGGACTTGTAGAATTTATCCCTACTTTTCTGATGGGATGAAAAGGTACAGTCCTTAGCTGCTTAATTTTCAGAGATATAGGGTGGATTTGGAGGTCTGACTCTCAATACAAGTTCTAGAATCCTCCTGATTAGGTCCCACCTCCATTCTCTTTTGTTGTTGTTGTTGTTGTTGTTGACTGTCCTGGGCTTGAACTCAGGGCCTGACTTTTTAGGTTCACAGCTAGCCCTCTACCTCAGAGCCACAGTTCTCCTTCCAGCTTTTTCAGTGCTTAATTGGAGATAAGAGTCCCCTGGACTCTTCTGCTCTGGCTAGTTTCCAACAGTGATCCTCATATCTCAGCTTCCTGAGTAGCTCAGATTATAGACGTGAGTCACTGGCTCCTAGCTCCACCTCCCATTCTTAACCTACTAGGAGATCTGTGGTATGATCTGGGGTTTTCTTGGCCATACTGCCAGGTCAAGATTTATATCCTTTGAGTAGTCAAGTTGGTTACCTCTCTTCCTTCTGTCTTCCAGATTCCATCTGCTATTTATTCTCTCCTATTCTTTATACATTTTACTTATTTTTTTTCCCAGTCCTGGGGCTTGAACTCGGAGCCTGGGCACTGTCCCTGAGCTTCTTTTGCCCAAGGCTAGCACTCTACCACTTGAACCACAGTGCCACTTTTTATGTGGTACTGAGGGCTGCATGCATGCTAGCAAGTACTCTACCACTAAGCCACCTTCCCAACCCATACTATTTGTTTTTTTGAACTAGGAGTTAGATAAGAATAATGAAAATAACACGGTAAATGGGTAATCCTGAAAATGTTGTGATATGTAGACACAATTAAGAAGAAAGCATGCTTTTTAATATTGTAAAATAGTACAACAAAATAAAATCATAAGATGCCCTTAAAGCATAAGTTTATACATAATTACTTGTTTACAGATAAGAATTAGGAAAAATTCTTTTTCATATGTCATTTTTATTAGTATATTTTTATTTACAAAGGAGTTTCTGATAGTATTTCCATAAATACATATAATACACTTTAATCAGAGTTACTCCCTCTACTACTCTCTTACACATCCTTTCCCTTGTCATCATTTAAATAACTTTTGTGTGTTTATGTGCTGGTCCTGGAGCTTGAACTCAGGAACTGGGCTTTTGAGCAACAGCTCCATTTTCCAGACTTTTGGTGGTTAAATTGGAGATAAGAGTCTCATGGACTTTCCTGCCCCATCTGGCTTTGAACCCCAATCCTCAGGTATCAGCCTCCTGAATAGCAAGGATTACAGGTATGAATCACCAGTGCCCAGCTTAGAAATTTTTAAATATGTTTTATTATTTTCAAATGTGTATATCACCCTCATTTTATATACCTCCAATCTCACTTTCTAAAGTTTCAAGAGAAATTAGAAATAAGCGTATATTCAGTCTACCATTTCTTTAACCATAGGCCTGGACAAATGTAGGATAGTTGATAAAAAGTATTATATAAAATTCATGCTCTTTGCAATGTGTTCTTTACATTTATTCTCACTTCATTAAACTTAAAGCATACTTTCATTTTAGATTTTATAAAAATATATGAAGGGCTAGGAAGGTGGCTCAGGGGTAGAGCGCTTGCCTTGCATGCATGAGGCCCTGGGTTCAATTCCTCAGCACCACATAAGCAAAAAGAAAAAAGCTGGAAGTGGCGCTGTGGCTCAAGTGGTAGAGCACTAGCCTTGAGCTGAAGAGCTGAGGGACAGCACCCAGGCCCAGAGTTCAGGACCCACAACCGGACCCAAAAAAAAAATTTTTTTTTAAATATACATATATGAAAAGCTTTGTTTTTATGTTCTGTTTTCAATCTATATCTGTTATTATTTGCACATAGCAGATCAAGAAGAAAAACTTCCAAATATAATTTTCCTGTGAATAGTGAAAAAAATGAAGACTAACTCAGATCATTGTATCAGGAAATTACCCCTTTTTTTGGAGTCAAAATCTACTATGTAGAACAGGCTAGCTTCAAACTTAAGATCTTCCTGCTTTGGCCTCCTAGAAAAAAAATTCTGGCATTTAATGTAACTTAACAGTAGAGCCTAGCATATGTAAGGACCTGGGTTCAATCTCCAGCCTCACTTAGAAGGAAGGAAGGAAGGAACAAAGGAAGGAAGGAAGGAAGGAGGGAGGGAGGGAGGGAGGGAGGAAGAAAAGAAAATTACAAAATTACTTTTCTATCAGGTTATTTCTATAAGTATATTGTTACACTAAATAAAAGAAGAATAAAAAGAAAGGCTGGGGAAATTATTTAAAATGCTAACAAATGGGGATGATTTGTTGTTGTTAAGGAACACATCTTCAATGGTATGTACAAATTAATAGGGAAACAGAATGTGATTTAGAGAAATCTTATTATAAACAACTTTAAAATTAAAATTAAGTATATCAATTTTTAGCCAATGTTTTCTCCATTCCTTTATTTTTCTATGAAGCTTTAAATTTGAAACCTTTTAAATGTTATTTATAGCCAGACAAGAAATTTTTTTAAAAATGTTTACTCTAGGAAGTTTATTTGAGCATTACACAAAGTTCTTTAGCTCATTTTTTCCATGAATTCTTTTAACTATTTGTTTATTTTCTTCTTTACAGCCAATACAAGAGTTACGGGAAGTTGTTATTAATATTTTACAAGATCCAAACAGAACCACAGAAGGTACTGTTGTTTTTGCATTTAAATTCATTCTCTTTAGCCGTACAAGTAAAAATCATCCAGAAACACCCAAGGGGAAACAAGAAAAGCAATTTTGCATTTCCTGAAAACTCTGACTTCTTGAGTTTCATGGCCTGGCCTTTTCAGCCATTTTCATCAACTGATTTGTTTCTGTTATGTCTAACACTGAACAAAAGTTGTTTCCACCAAAGCAACATAGACTGAACTACCCTGCTTTCCTTAGAGTCCCAGGGGAGAGAAGACAAGTGGCTGTTAGCAAGAATCTAGGGCAAAAGAGAAAGAACTTTTGGATTAAGTTACATTCTTAGTTATAATAAACTCACCATCACTTAGTTGTCTCAATTCTTGTTATCTCTTTAAAAATAGCCATCTCAAAAGTCTCTTCACTTAGGTAACCATTAATGTCATTGGTCAGTCTTTAAAGGACTTTTCTATGAGAACTATTAGCCAAACACAGTGATACATTATAATTCCTGATAGTGGGGCTGGGAAGGTGGCTCAGTGGTAGAATGCTTGCCTTGCATTCATGAGGCCCTGGGTTTGATTCCTCAGCACCACATACGCAGAAAAAGCCAGAAGTGGTGCTGTGGTTTAAGTGGTAGAGTGCTAGCCTTGAGCTGAAGAGCTGAGGGACAGCGCCCAGGCCCAGAGTTCAGGTCCCACTACTGCCAAAAAAAAAGAAAAAAGAAAGAAAGAATTCCTGATGGTTGTTATGTGAATGGGAAAAAAAAGGCAAGCTATCTTTTGAAAATAAAGTGCACTATTCTTGTTCTCTTACAAAATGACAAATCTTTTTCCTTTATGAGTAGATTTAACGAGAGAACAACCAAGTCATGTGGAATTATAGCCAGATAACTCACTACTTTGGAGATAAAGTTATAGAATAGATATAGTTAATGGTAGACTTTGGGAATGATGCTACAACATAAATATTAGGCACATATATTTATGATGCATGGCAGTGTTATTCAAAGGGATGAAAAAGAGGAACCAACAATTCCTTTGCCACTTGATAGCTTTGTTGATCTTGTTTCAGATCTCAGCCTCTGCACTCAGTGACTACTTATTTCAGTCTGACTTACTTCTTTCATTTTGGTTGTTGTGATTAGGCAGTCGTGAAAATTATGCCAATACAAGACACCTTTTATTCACTGTCAAACGTAATAGCCATGTGGTCATCTCTGAGTAGGGAAGGGATTGAGAAATCAAATTAACCTTGGTAAGTAAGTCAAGAAAATGGAGCATAATGGCAGAAAACCAGTGAATAGTCTCTAAGAGAGCTCTCTTGAGAGTTAATAGGAGGTTGGGGGTATGGTAAATATCCAGGTAGTGACAGGGAGACCCAGGGTTTTCTGTAGAGAAGACTGGCTAATGGGATATACTGATGTCATTGGCAATTGCCGTGGGACTTAGTAGGAAAATCCAGTTGTAGGTCCCACTTCAAACCAGTTACTGTTTAATACAGAGTCCATTACACTCAGAAATCATGGTATATATTGCTTTTTCATTTTATTAATTTTTAGCTTGAATATTGAATTGCTAAATCTTACTTTCCTTCTGACCTTCCATACACAAGGAGTTACTTTGAACTCTTTGGTTGCTGAAACTACCACCACAGCAATGGAAGAGGAATCTGGGCAAGCTTGTCTTCCTCCAGAAGAGAAGCAACTGGTTAGAGCAACACCCCAAGTAACCAATACAGAACAGGATAATCTTCCTGGTATCAAATTACAGATTGCCTCAATCCCTAGGTAAGCCAACTTTGTGATCACAGACCTAATTCTGTTCTCAATTTTTCCTCCACTGACCCAGAGTATCAGCAATCTATAGAGTACCACTGTTCAGATGAGATCCAGGTGGTCACTTTAGTTTTAGCATTGAAGAAGGAGCTGAGGATGAGGGGAGCTTGGGACCATTGACAGGATATTCTTCATCTTTTCTCTGTATCCATATTTCCCTCTCTCCTGGCATCAGTCTTACCTCTTTACTCCCATTTATCCTGTGCTATCTTTTCTGCCTTCCTGGTATAGATAGAAAAAAAGGGGTCAACAGCACCAAGTCCCAAGCATAGGCTATCCCTTGAGCTATGAGAACACATAAGAAGTATATTTCTAAAGCTGAGCCCAGTCATTTTGAGGAGCTGTGTCAGGATGGCAATGTCATTTTCTAAAAGTTAAATGTAGTCTTCCTCAATCATTCTATTCATAATCTTGAAATAATTCCAAACTACAGTGCTAGGAAAACAGTTCTATGTCTCAGTGCCCTGGTAAGCACAATTGGGCCTTCCAGTCCTAGATTCTTCTAGATATATCACTGCCTGCTACTGCTAACCCAGGGATAGATGAAAATGGGCAATTGGTCTGAAAACCACCTTTTATTGGCTCTAGAATGATTATGAAAGCTTTTGAGAAGACTGGCCTGCTGGTTCTGCTTAGACTAATGTAATCAGTGGCTTTGTGAGTTGTAGAGCAGAGTCCCTGTATGGAAAAGATTCTACCCTATCCCCCATGCAGCTTCTTACTGGAATGTTTCTGCAGTTTTAAAAAGACGATGCCTAACTTATTCCAGTTTCAAGCTGTAGTTTGGTTCACCATCTTTAAAGTTCTTTCTAGCTCTATTACTGTCAGAGCTAGAAAGAAACTTAAAATTCATTAGTCTAACCAAATGTGGTGCTAGGCTCAATTGCCTTAAAATCTACAAATTCCTTGAAAATTTGTGATATAAACAGCAATTGCAAAATAGGTACCTTCAAATAAAAACCATGCTTCACATTACATTTATTAAATCCCTATGAATAAACCATCCAGTAGCAGACAGCCCAAGCATCCAGAAGTCAGGGAAGAGCCATCAAATAATAAATAAGAGTTTCTGGAGGCTGTAAAGTTTTGAATGCATCTTTTGCAATCTCTCAGAATCAATGGAATGCCAGAAGTACAAGACATGAAGCTTATCACTCCCGTAAGGCGCTCTGCAAGGATTGAACGAGTGGTGTCCCACTACCCAGAAATGCTGCAGGAACACGATCTGGTCGTGGCTTCTCTTGATGAACTTCTAGAGGCAGAAGACACAGAGTGCTATATATTTCGTAAGAATGAGGCATTGCCCGTGACATTAGGGTTTGAGATACTTGAATCGTAATTTTTATGTGGTATGTGTGATTCACAGCCTTCAAGAAATGCTTTTGTCCAGATAACCTGAAGAAAATGTCTAATGTTGAAACATCACAGATACAGAGAACTCTTGAGATTGAGGGAATAAGTCACTGGATTTACCCCTCAAATTTATATACACACAGGAAAGTGTTCGGTTTATATGCTTAAAACTGTAATTTGCCACAGTTTTATAACATAAGTTTCAAAGTTTTGAATATTTACTCCACACGTTTGGGAAAAAATTGCTGTTTTACTTTAAACCCATTGCCACAGTCTTTTCAACCCTGAGATTATCGTGCAGCATGGTGAGACTTCTTTTCATATCCTCCTTAGCAGAATGGGTAAGTTCTTCCACGAGAAGAGCTGAGCTTTGAAGCCAGCTTGCTAGGCTACATGATCACCCCTTTCCCATGTTACAGATGAGCTGCAGAGTAGCTCTGCTTTCTCTCTGGGGTGACATTTGCAGTAATCTGGACTTCCCTCCCAGTGATCCTGCAGAGAAGGGTGATTCTTGCTCTTCATCCCCAGTAAAACACAATCCTGCAGTAGGGATCATTTAACTTTTCATATCCAACCCTGGTTTTGCATTTGTTATTCAGAAACACTTCAAGTTAAAAATAAAAGACGAGGGAAAGGGTGTTGGAGAAAGGACACTTTCTGCTTCACGTCAGTTCTTCTCTCTGCCCAGGGACTGCTCACCTAAAAAGGCCATGTGAGCCTCACAGCAGGTTGCTCTTTCTTCCTTCTGGGAAACCACTTGTAGTAAGAATCAGAATTGTTTAAGAAATATAATGTATAGAAAAGCCTAGGCAATATGGGGACTATTAATTTTCTTTGTATTTAAGTATGATCTATAATAAAAAATACTAAATTGTTGATTCTTGAATATGTATTTTGTCACAAAACAGTGGTAATGGTTTGGCAAAAGAACTAGGGGTTTCACTGTGGAACCATGGACAAAGTTGCCCAGGAGGCATCCTGGGATACACTCCTTGCCTGGAGAAGTCACCCTAATCAAGGGTCTGGCCATAAACCCCACCCCAAAACTGAATATTTCATTGTTAGGGAAGCAGATCTCTCTCAGGAACAGGTTTATAATATCAAGGATCATAAAAACTGAGCTATAAAACCATAACTGTCATGAGAAATAAATTGTCATCACAACTGAAATGTAGGAATATCCATGCAGCCACAAAGTCTGACCATGGGACTTACAGAAGTCACATATTAAAAGCATCCATGCCTTAGCCCCTAGACAGTCTTCAGTCCTCAGATGTATCCTCAGGACAGCCTGCACTGCATTTAGCTCATGCACTTCACTTTTCTCTACCTTCTAGAATGGCTTATCCTCTGCCAGTGTCTCCCATCTCTCCTTCCCCAGGCCTGAAAAATAACTAATTGTGCTGCTTTTACCTCTCTATACTCAACCCTATTGTCTCCGTTTTGCAGCCCAGATCTCAGAAGAGCAGCTTTGCTTTTTTCATGGCCAGTTCCTCACAGCACATTACTGGTACAAACAGTAACATGTAGGTTGAACTACTGGAGCCTAATAATGTATAATTTTTACCATGGCAAGTTGGAAGTTTGAATAAACTGAGCTAGTACAAAAGGCTGTGGATGTGATCATGGATGCTATAGCAATTGCAGAAAACAGTAACCTTCTTATTTAATAACCAGCTGTTCCTAGATGAAGGGAAAGGAAGATCCTTAATCACTTAGGAAATAGATTTCCTGGGAATTGTAATGGAAATGTAGGCCTTCTCAGAAAGCAAATCCAGAATGGTTTAGGAACTACTTCTTGGAGTGAATTTTAAAACAAGATAGGAAAATTACAAATGACATTACCACAGAATGACATGGATGAGACATAATGGTTCTCATTCATTAAAGTTTACTATATCAGTATTCTTCTATTCTTTTACATGCTATGAGACTTTTTTTTTCCCTCCCTCACATCTTCTGTTTCTATTAAGAGGCCCCCGGGTTTCTCAGAGCCATCTTTTTCCCACTCATAGAAGAGAACACGTGTCCTGGGCCTGGCCAACAAGAGTTTATATGTTCCTGGCTAGGAATATTGACTGAGTCATTTCCCAATCAGAACCAATGGGATGCTTTTCCCAGATTTGTTGGAAAGATAATTTTCCTGGTAGAAATTTTGAAAAAGTAAGGTGGAAATCTAGACTCTGGGGTTAGCCATCTTAGAATCATGTTTATAGTTTAGAAAATAGTCTCAACTACAAATAATAAACCTCATACTGGACAACACAAAGTTATGACAGTGGAACAAATTTGGACCTGGAGGTGGCCTCACATAAGACTTTGCAGTTATCGAAGTGGAGGTGAGACTCAAATGGTAGAGTGTCAGCCTTGTGTGACAAAACGACGAGAAAGTGTCCAGGCCCTGAGTTCAAGCTTTAGTACAGTTATAAAAAAAAAAAAAAGATTTTGCAGTTATGAGCTGATAAATTTCTCTAAGCTCATTTCATTCAGGCTTCTGTCAGTTACTAGTGAAAATGTCCTACTTAATACACATGTAAACACACACACACACACTCACCATAGTACAGCATACTGATGATTGTGTTCTTATTTTGGCCCAGATTTCTCTACATTCTCACAATAGCTTGACGACAGATGTGGAAAAAAGTAGTTAGTAAATTTCAAAGTGGAATTTCAAACTCAAGAACTGTTTGACTCCAAATCCATAGTTTTTATTAAGTCCTGTCTGTAATATAAGTGATGAGTAAATAGAATGATAGGGAAAGAGCAAATCTGAGAGAAAAGTCCTTTAAGTTTTCCAGTTTGCCAAACAGAGGTCACCACCAGAGTAGAGGTACTGTTAACTTGTCCTGTACATATGGCACCTTGGTCACTTTTTTCCACTAAGTCACTACCCCAAGAAGGCTTCTGTTCTCTTCATTTTGATTGCTGAGGATTCAAAGCCAGAATTAGGACATTAATCAACTACTATAAATAGTCCCAAATGGAAATGCACCTCTTACATAGTCCCATTGCAACAGTCTCAGTGAATAAAGCACCAGACACACGCCACATCCAACTTGGAACTCTGCCATCCCTACCATAAAACCAGCCCTATGTAGCCAAAGGGATCTGGTTGAGCCACAGAAAGGGAGAATAGTTGCAGGGACCAATGCACCACTCCTAGGAGCCACAACACTTGGAAATGTCTATCAGATGACCACATGCCAACCTAAAAGTCCTTCCTAAAATGGAGGATGACTGTCAGTGTGTGCCACATACAGTCTTGCAGTAGTAAACATCTCCAAAGGACAGATAATTTGTATAGTGATGGCATGAGTTTAAAAAATAAAATCTATATCAAATGAATGGCCCATAATACAAGTATCTGTTCCACCTTGTATTGTCCCAGACATGTTTCTGAGTTGAAGAAAGTACTAAGCCGTGGGCTGGGAAGGTGGTTCAGTGGTAGAGTGCTTGCCTTGCATGCTTGAGGCCCGGGGTTTGATTCCTCAGCGCCACATAAGCAGAAAAAAATAAAAAGCTGGAAGTGGCGCTGTGGCTCAAGTGGTAGAGTGCTAGCCTTGAGCTGAAGAGCTGAGGGACAGTGCCCAGGCCCAGAGTCCAGACCCTACGACCGTATCCAAAAAATTTTTTAAATAAAATTTAAAAAAAAGAAAGTACTAAGCCAAAGCTTTGTAGTCTCCCCCATCCCTATGCCCCCCTTTATCTTATATCCTTTACTCTCCTCCTTCCCACGGAGTTCTCCAAGCCGACCCAGAGTAATAAGCAACCAGGTACTGTGCTTTATCCAATAAAATGCATAGGATGCTGAAGATGCCAGAGATTACAGCAGTGAGCCAAAACAAACAAAAAACAAAAACCATGGAGCTGAGAATGGAGTGGGGACACTTGTCAACCAATCACAAATGTATAAAAGTAAAATCTTAACAAAGAGAGGTCTATGCATCAGGAATGAGAAGGAACTACTGCAGTCAGGAAGTGAAGACCCCCTGAAATGCCAGGAAAGAGCAGGTGTAACTAAGGGAGAGGGGCAGAGGAATGCTTTAGGCAAAGGTGACCAGAAGACCCTCTAACCACCTCTCCTTTCCTTTTTTCCCTTTCCCTTTTCCCCTTCTCTCTCCCTGAGACCCCTAAGGCACTTCTGCTGACTGTTTGTCCCTCAGTCCTTGCCTTCTCTCTACCCTTGGAGAGAATTGTAGTTGATTTTTATTGACTACTATATTTTAAAACTTTTCTAGGAAAGCATTGCCCCAGGGACTGAGCAATCTTCCTAATAAAACTCCCTATCATTCTTGAATAAGGATCTACTGTTTAAAGACCAAAGGGCAGTCTTTAACTAGAACCTTGCCTGGGCCCTGCAGAGTCTGAGGCCCAAACATCTATCCAGGAAGAAGTAAAAGCCTTAGCAGTACCAGATTTGAAGCTTCTGAAATACACAGGAGATGCCACGACCTGTGTGCCTTCGTGGTCCTAAGACATCCCATGTGTTCCCACTGTTGATCTACAAAATAATAAAACTAAAGCACTTCACCAAATGACTTGAGGACTTGCTTTTTATCAAAGTCTAGGCTGCATATCAAGGTGTAGTCTAAGCCTCCACATATTTTACCATCTGGTACCACTGAGGGATAAAATAGTGAATTAAAATCAGTGACATGAGAGCAATGAAGGGCCAGGACTGAACCACAAAATATTCATGAGTTTCATGAGTATGGATTTTAATATATTTTTATGCATGTGTGCATCAAGCTCAAAGACATTTGGGCTAGCTCATTCAATCTTTCAGAGAGACCTGGAATGAAAGGAGAAATAATGATACAATCTGTAGCCAACTGGGTTTTATTAATTATGTAACAGAATCAAAGGCACAAAAACACGTGTGTGTGTGTGTGTGTGTGTGTGTGTGTGTGCGTGTGTGTGTGTGTGTGTGATGGACCCCAAGCTTGAACTGCAGGCCTAAATGCTGTTCTTAAGCTTTTTTGTTCAAGGCTAGCACTCTATACCACTTTAATCATAGCTCTACTTCTGTATTTTTGGTGGATAATTGAGATAAGAGTCTCATAGACATTCCTGTACAGGTTGTCTTCAAACTGCATCCTTAGATCTCAGCTTCCCAAATAGGAAAGATTACAGGCTTGAGCCACCAGTTGCTGGCAAAACACTACTTTTAAAAAGAAATATACTTAATAAATTTGGATTCAAAACATGATGCAGCTCTAGGAAAACATGTTAAAATAATGCAATTTATTATACTTAAAAACCCTAGGAGATGCCTTCTAGAAGACATCCTTTCTTGAAGTGTTCTTGAGCTCCAAACGTGTTACATTTCAGAGCCTTCCATACTCTTTTTTCTTTTTTTTTTTGTCGGTCATGGGGCTTGAACTCTGGGCCTGGGTGCTGTCCCCCAGCTCTTCAGCTCAAGGCTAGTGCTCTACCACTTGAGCTACAGCGCCACTTCCAGTTTTCTAGTGGTTTATTGGAGATAGGAGTCTCACGATCTTTCCTGCCCGAGCTGGCTTTGAACCGCGATTCTCAGATCTCAGCCTCCTGAGTAGCTAGGATTACAGGCGTGAGCCACCGGCGCCTGGCTTCCTTCCATACTCTTGATTTTTACTTTTTCCATACTTTCCCTGTTATCTGAAAAATACCTCACGCAGAAGATAACCTCTGTAGCTAGCCTATGTCTAGGACTGAATTAGCCTGCACTCAATCCTCCCCTTTTTCCTTCCCCTCAGCCTTGCAAGAAACAAAGGAAGTAGTTTTGGTAACTAATCTTCCCTTCTCCCCAAGCTCACCTGGTACTCTCAAGCAAGGATAGAAAATATATCAACATGCCTTCAGCCAGGTTGGAATAAGGATAAGGGTTTATAGCA